CCCTCTCCCTCTCCCTCTCCCTCTCCCTCTCCCTCTCCCTCTCCCTCTCTCCCTCTCTCCCTCTCTCCCTCTCTCCCTTCTCTGTCCTTCCTCCTGCCCCCCCTTTCCTCTTTTTGTCTTTCTGCCCAATCTTTCTCTCCCTTTCACTGTTTTCCTCCTCCTTTGTCCTTCTTTTGGTGCATCTTCCCCCCACTCCCATTTCTATCCCCCTTCTCTTTCTGTCATTCCATGTCTTTCTCACCCTATCTCTGACTGCTTTAGGAAGATGAGTCACCTCGAAGTGTCCTGGAGGAGATGGGTTTGGCATAGCTTCCCACCCCAATGGGAGATACATTGCAGGGTTGCCATAACTTGGCAGACATGACTGGTTGCTTCAAAGTCCACACACGTTCAGATCCCTCTTCCCTGTGGAATACCCTTTCCCTGCTCTCTCAGTTTCTCTTGGAGAGAGTTGTGGACTGGAATCCTTCAAACATTCCTTCTTTCTCTGACTCCCATCACTTCATGTTCCTTCATTTTTTCCAGTTTGGGTTTGAGAAATTGGATGGGTAGAGAAAGACTATGACCAAGAAGAGAGGTGTGATGATGTATGTTTCTCTCTCTCTTTCCCCATCCTGAGAACTGACTTCATCCAAACCTTACTTCATTCTCCCATACACTGTAAATATATAAATATGTCAGGTTAAATGGAAATTGTTTTCAGCCCTCCACCCACCCAAAGAAAAATAACATACCTCTATTTCCTCCCCCTCCCTGCACCAGTCAGTCAGGCCTTAATCGTTTCCTAGGGAAAGGTATCTCTAGTATATTAAGGAGGGGTGTCTTTCTTTACATCTCTCACCCCTGCCCCACTCTCAGGGTGGGTTTGAATCGTAGGGAAGAACACAGCTAATTTTTAAAATCTTATGACTTTGAGGGAAGGGATACAGGAAGGTTTGGGCCTGTTGGGAACTCAGTGGAACCCCAAATGTTCTAATTTAGGGGGAGGGAGGAAAGAAGGGTGCTTATTTGTCTCTGTTTCCTTTCTTCCTGAAATAAAAGGACTATCATTTCTGGATTTTCTGCTTATGATATTGGTAGCTCACGATGCTATAGCACTTCTAAAGTTCACAAAAGACTTTCTTCATAAGGGAATAGTGTAGGTATCAGTATCTCTATCTTATAACTAAGAACTTGCCTAAGGTCATGCAGAAATTGAATGGTATTGGAACCCAGGTCTCTAGTCTAGGTTTAACACCCTTCTCCTTATCCATTTTCCTGTCTCCTCCATCAGCTTACTTTTGGGGAGGGGGGAAAACCTCTGGAAGCCGTTTCCTTATCTCAGGAGTCTCATCTTGTGGGAAGAAAGCTAAAGGGTTCAGACTTGCCACTTTAGCCCAAATTTGGAGGGTTGTGGGTGCCAAAGAATTAAGCAAATACTTTTTTTGCGCCATTCCCCCATCACACAGAGAATTCCCCTCCCCATCTATGTGGCCTCTGCCCTGGTGGAAGTAGAAAAGGAAAATTAACTCTTAACTACACCCAGGAAAGATTAAGGTTGGAGTGAGTTAAGGCACTAAAGTATAATTTGATTGACCCTTGATGGGATTGCTTCCTCTGCCTCATCATAGTATCATGCATTTTGCCTACAGTAGGAAACAGAGGAAAGAAGTGCTCAATGAGAGGAGAATAGGAAGGTAGGTGGCTGATATTCCCTTATTCTCTTGAGAGGAAGTGGGGGGAGGGGTAAATAAAAGAGAAAAAGTCCTAATAAAATAGTCACTTTTATTTCTTAGCAAAACTATTTTCCCCGTGAGGGGTATTTACAACAGAGAAGGGAAAGAAGGGGTTGAGTTGTCTCAGTTTGGGGAGTGATCAGGGTCCTAGGAAAACCCTGGGGTCGGGGAGGGCTTCGATTCACAGGCGGCTTCTACACAACTGGTATGGTTTTTGTTTGTTTGCTTTTTGCTTTTTATTATTATTGTTCATCGATGGGGAAATCGGAAGAGGGATAGGGTGGCTTAGGGTAAGGGAACGGGGCCCCGTGGGGGAGACGAGTGTGGAACAAATCTGTACAGTCCGGTTTCAGCTGCTCCTTCGCTGTATCACTTGTGGGTGGAGTTAGTAGGACACGGGAGTTTTCTATCCTCTTGAGTTTCCGCACTAGTGCTCCTTCCTTTCCGCTTCGGACAGATTGGAATTTTCTCCTCAACTTCCACCCCCACCGATCTGATACCCTACCACGAATGTGGGGTACTCGTCTCTCACTGAAGATGGTTAAAGGGAAGGGGGCGGGGCTTAGAGTAGCGGGTGGGGCCAGGTTGGCTGAGACGAGGGGTGGGACTATGCCCACCCCGCAAAAAAGGTCAGGGACCGCATGCAGAACACTAAAGAGCAACACGGGGGCTTAGGGAAGTTTGCACAGGGGAAGAGAGGGGACCGTCACGAATGGGAAAGCGGAGTCAGGGGAACAAGCTGGGGCGTCTGAGCAGCACGTGCTCAATATAATTCTCCAGCTCCTCCTCCTCCTGCTGCTGCCTCTCTTCTTCCTCCTCGCCCCGCCGCCCTTGTGGGCTAAGGCCGAAGTGGTACTGCGACCCCTCTGAGGGCTGTGCGTGGTAGTGGTGGCGGCGGGTCGGGGAAGAGAGAGGTGGGAGGAGTGTACGGGGCTGGATGTAGTTAGGAAAGGGGTAGTTGGGCTCTGGGGGGAACACTTCATCTCTGTCCCAGGGTGGGAGCACCTCATTCCAATCCTGCAGCTCATCTTGGGCAGGGAAAGATGGTGGTGGGGGGGGCCTTGGGGAGCGAAAGTGAGTAGGCGCGGGGGGGGCCCGAGGAGGAGGTAGGGGCTCAGGAGGGGCATTCTTCTTCCGCTTACGCTTCTCCTCCACCTCCTCAATGATGCTGACTACGTCGTCGGCTGGCAGGTGCAGTTTAGTAGACAGCTCAATTAGGCTGTCGATAGTCTGCGGGTCCATCTCTTCCTCATCTTCTTCTCCTTCTCCTTCCACCTGCCCCTTTCGCTTTTGACCTGGTGTCTCCTCTTGGGAGCGCTTGTCCTCAGCCCCAGCTTCCCCTTCCTCCTCTTCCGCGAATAGCAATGCATTCTGCCGCCCCCTCTCAACCTCCTCAGCCTCTGCCTCAGCGTCTTCCTCATCCCCCTGCTCGTCCTCCTCCTCCCCGCCTCGGATCACTCCCTCTTCTTCCTCCTCCCTCTCCCTTTCTCTCTCCTCCTCCTCTTCCCCCTGAAGTCCCCGGTCCCCTACACCTCGCTCCAGGCCGCCGCCGCCTTGTAGCAGGTATTGGAGCAGCAAGTCAGAGGCTAGATCAGCCAATCTTTCCTCTTGGGCTGCCGCCTGCCTCGTAGCCTCAGCCTGCCGCCTACCTGCCTCTACCTGGGCCAGCCCCCGCTGCAGGAGGCGCCCTCCAGCTGCAAGCCTACTCATGGCTGCGCTTTCTGGGCGGTGCGTTTTGGAGAAAGGGGCACTCTCGATCTGGCGCGCCTTGTAGAGAGGTGCTAGGCTCTCGCCGTGTGTTTTTAGAGTAGGCTCGCTCTCACCCTGGCGCACCTCAGGAAGGGATACGCCCTCAGGCAATTGCTCCTGGAACCGCCGAGGAAATGGGGGTGGGGGAGGGACACGCGCCTGGAACTCTCCCCAGGAGGCCCTCCATACACGCTCAGGTCCGGGACTCTCCAAGTTGACCCGGGTCAATGTATGGGTATGCGTTTCCGCCTCAGCTGCAGCAGCCTCTGGCTCTCTCTTAGCATTCGCTGGACTGAAAGCGCGTAGTTCCTGGAGCAGGGATTCAAGTGCCTCTAGTTCCTCGGAAGGATCGGAACCCTCCGAGCTACGCTCCTCTGGGATACGGGAAAGCGTTGGGGGTACCCCTGTGTCTGGGGCCGGGCGGCTGTGGGTCTGGCTACGCACAGTTTCTGTTAGCAAAGCCTCTCCTTTCTGCTGCTGCTGTTGCTGCTGCGGCGGTGGCGGTTGCTGCTGCTGCTGCTGCTGCAAGATCCCTGGAGCCGGGGGCGAGGCAGGATGATCTAGCGCCTGTAACAGGACCGCGGCCAGCGCCCGTGGATCTACCCCCTGGAATAGATCTTCGTCTTCCTCAGGCTCTTGTTCTGGGCTTCTCTCCTCCCTTATCTCTGGATCTAGGCTCTCTCTTTCCCCTGGCTTCCCTCCTCCAGCTGCCAAGTTTTCGTGTTCAGATATGAGAGGCGACAGCGACTGATCTGGGCGCCCCGGAGGCGCTGCTTGAAGACCGTTCATCTGTAGCAAGAGGCAGAAGAAGAGGGCGGCAGCGGGCGTCTGTGGGAACCTCATGGCTGAGACTGGGAGACTGATGGTTTCCAGGGGCTATGGAAAAGAAAAATAAAGTGGAGAAAAGGCGAATAAAACGAGAGGGGCTGTCAGGGCTTCAGGGTGTCTTCTCTGCTCCTTAAATTCCCTTCACGATCTCAAAATCTGGCGTTCCTCTGGGAGCTACCCTTGACGCACTACCTACCCCGATCCCCGACTTCTCGCAAATCCAGAAGTGTCAAGATAGGGACCCTAAGGGAAAATGGGGCTGTGCTAATCTATGGAGTCCTAAAACTGGGAGGGGAACGCCTGGCAGCAATCACGTCTGTGTTCCCCCACCTCCACCTCGCCCCCGCTCCTTCTCGGAGCTATCTTCCTGTCACCGCCCACGTTGCTTCGAGGTTGAGAAAAAAATATCTGCTCCCCACGGGACTCTCCAGATCAAGCGTGGGAGGCTTTATCTGGGAAAAAGGGGGATATCATCTCCCCTTCTATCTTAAGGTCCCCTTGGCGTTATCCCTTCCCCCCCAAACTAGGGGAGACATCCCTCCCGCACACAGCCAAATTCTCGGGGGGTGGACAGACTGACAGAATAGTATTTACCAGCTGGGATTCGAGGAATGGGGATGGGGGGGGATGAGGGTCGGGGTTTCGAGGTAGCAGAGCGCGGATGCTGCGAGTTTCGGTCCCTGTCCTACGTTGTCGCTTCGGTCAGCTTCCGGCTGGTCTCTCTTCGTGTGGTCGACTCTCTGTTTCTCTCGCTAGCTCTCTCCCCAAGCTTCAGCACGCTGGACAGCGCCCGCCCCGCCTCTTTATAAAGGGGAGCCAGTAGATCACGTGGGGGGTCTTCTCCGCCCGATTGACGTCAATGTTCATTCATGGGGAAGCGGGGTGAGTGGTGGAGGGGCCCTAATTGCGGCCGGTGATTGGAAGATTCTTCTCCTCCTCCCTATTCTGAGCCTGCGCACTGAAGAGTGAGGACTAACTGGCACGCTAAAGCCAAACGCCGGGGAAATGAATGAATGAATAAATGAAGCGAACGCGGGGTTGGGGGAGGAGGACAGTGAATGAATGAAGGAGAATGAGAAGAGAAGGAGAGAAAGGAAAGAAGGAAGGGAGGGTGGGAGGGAGGAAGGAAGGAAGGAAAATGGGGAGGGGCAGAGAGTTAAATATAAGCCCAGGGGGTGAACGTAACCTATAGCTGCCGCAAGCGGTCAATCTGTGGATTAAATTGGAGTGGGGTGTTAGGGCTTGAGAGAAGAAGGGGAAAGCGGTAGGACATAAAAAAGGGCAGGAAGGATGCTTCCCCAAAGCTCCCACTTGCTGGTGCAACACATTATGAATGAAAGAAAGACAGGCAGATTTCTGTGCGTGTTTGTGGATTCGTGTCTGAGTGTGAATGGGTAACTAGGTGCGTGTGCCTGGGTCTGTGGTTGGTGACTGGTGGGGTAGGGTGGGAGAGAAGCGTGTACGTGCGTGTGTGTTGGAAGAAAGAGGAAGGGGACTGAGTGGGTACATTTGAGAGAGTGGACCTTGTGGTTCTATTTGTTCTTGCCTATGGCTAGGGAAAGTGAGTCCTTTTTTCCTCTCCCATTCACAACCCCCGCCCCCACTGGCCCATCACGCTGCTGCCCCCATTGTCCTAGTGCCCCCTCCTCTATGCTTCTCCTTCATCCAACACCCCCCCCACCACCATTCCTTCCTTGCAGGAAGGGAAGGACGTTTGGAGGGCGAGTCCAAAAGGGGAGGGGGTTGTGAAGATAGACTAGGGAATTCAATTCTTGCTTTTCCAGATTCTTAAAAGCGAAGGTTTGACTTCAGAGAACCCCTAAATGACAAAGATCGTCCCTTCCCCATTGCTTCCTCCCTTTACCCTCAGTCCTTGTCCTGCGCCAGGGGTTTGAGCTTGGGGGGCTCAGGGCGGCTGGAGGTTCCGGCTGGGGAGGGGAGGGGGGCGATGACGCACACATTGCGCAAAGAGAATCCATCAGCAAGCCAGGTCCGGTGAAGGGAGACCGGCCGTGGGCGGAGGGGGTGGGGGTGGGGTAGGGTGGGGGGAACGGAAGCAGGGTATGGGGAAGGGGGAGACGGAGGGAGGTATGCTGCGTCTACAGGAATGATGCTGAGGTAGGGTAGAGGGCGTTGCTTCGAGGGTAAAGAGAGGTGGGGGCTTGGACAGCAAGAGGAGAGTGACTAGACTTACACAGACACGGTATGAGATGCAGAGACACAGGGATACATGTATACACAAAGCGTGTCTCTGTGATTATCGCTCTCTGTTTCTGTGCCTGTCTCTCTAACGCTCTCAAATACACTTTCATAGTATTTTTCTCCTTCCATCCCTATTTTCTTTCCTCTTTCTCACATTATTTCACTTCCTCCCCCGATTCTTCTGCCCCCTACCACCCCCACCCCCCACTCCTTCACACACATACTCACGTGCTTTCCCTCCAAAGCCACCAGTGGCTTCTCGGCTCCATCAGCAGCTTTATTTTCCCAGAAAGAAATGCCCATCAGCTTAGCTGGGGGAGGGTGAGAGAGACAGAGAGAGAGAGAGAGAGAGAGAGAGAGAGAGGGAGGGAGAGAAAGAGAGACTGAAGCTAAAGACAGGTGAATGAGAAAGATATGATGAGATGGGGAGAGTAGATGTGTGAAGGGACGAGAGAGAGCTTGGAGAAGGAACAGAAAAGATGACCCTCTACCCACTTCTCAACTTCTTCCTTCACCCCACTTTCCTCTGTCCAGGACCTCCTTACCTACCCCTATTCTCCTTCTCTTACTGACCTGGTAATTGGGTTGGTGGAGTGAGGGTGGGGAAAGAGTCACATTACATTCCTGAGGAGAATGAATAAGATAGAGCAAAGACCTTTATGGAGGGGGATGGTGAATGGGTGGGGTTGGTAGGAAGAACATAGAGAGACAGATAGACTTCTACAAAAATATGGAATGAAAAGAGGCAGAAAGATATAAAGGGCTGACAAAGAGAGAGAAAATACCCAGTGTGTTTCTGTTCTCAGCGTTAGAAGGCTGGCTAGATGTTGCCATGAGTCTAGGTGTGTGGAGTTCTGTTGTGAGAGCATCTCTTCAAAGCTGTGTGTATTGGTATTATGCTTCCATTTCTGTGTCTGTACATTCAGATGTGTATCTATGTTTCCAGACATCTGTGTGTGTCTCCGATTCTATGTTTGCCTATTTCTAGGCATCTGGGTTTTGGTATGTCTGTCAATGGCAACTCATATATATGAATAATCATTTGTTTTGCTACATGTATGTGTTTGTGCCCTTTGTCTGCATGCCTAACAGTGTCGTCCACCGTGGATACTAAATCAGTGTGTACTGAATGAACATATGAATGAACTGAATGAGTGAGTGAATGAATGAATGAATGAATGTCTGCTTTCCTGGTTTTCTGTATCTGTGTAGAACTATATTGTGGGTATCTTTGTGTCTTTAGTCTGTAAGTTTTTATGCCCCTACCCTACTCCTACTTCCCATGATCCCCTTCTTCTTACCCCACATCTAATTTGCCCTTCCTGCCCATCTCTTCCTCTTTCATTCCTACCCCACTACCCACTCCAAAGTGGTGGGGAGCTAGCCTAGACTAGTCAAGAATACTGTTTTCATGCTGGAAAATGAGGTCCCTAGGTTGTAAGGTTGCGGGGGTAGGGGGGAATAGGAGCAAAATGGTCTACTTATTGTTTTTTCCTCTTGGATAGGTAACTGGAATGGAGGTGGGTAGGCAGGAGGCATAAGGAAATACATCCTTCATGTCTCTGCATCTATCTCTGTCTCTCCCTGTCCCCTTTTCAGTTTAGCTCCCCCTCACCCCCACCACCCCCAACAAAGCCTTCTGTCCCACCTGGTGCCCTTCACACCCTGCTGCTTTTAACAATCATTGGAGGAGAAATAGATTGGGATGAAAGTGAGAAGGGGCAAGCCGTGGGGATGTGGGAGGTGGGGCAGAGAACAACAAACAGGGAAAGAAAGCTGCAGAAATAAAAAGAAAAAGAGACTAACAGAGAGACATGAACCAAGAGAGATACATTCTGAGGGTATAGATGTAGTCTTTCTCTGTCTAACAGTCTGTATCTTTTGTGTGTGTGTGTTTTTTACTTCCTGAGTCTCATTCTCTCTATAGGAAGGTAGAAGGAGAGGGTAGGACTCTAGGGGTAGAATGGGCAGGATATGGCAAAAGCTTGGGGGAGAAAAAAACCAATGAATTCCTAAGCTGTGCCCTTGGTTTAGGAGGAGGGGGGTTTTGGTCCACTGACTCCATATCCCCTTCCCTTCCCTCCCCCCCATCCGGTGACTCACCTCTGCAGCCTCTCAGTGCGTCAGCAAAGGGTGGGGGGCGGAGGGGGGGCTGTTGAGGGGAAAGAGACAGGGGTCTGGACTTCAGAAAGGGAAGAAGAAGGGTGCTGGAGGACACCCTGAAAATCCCACCATTGCCCCATCTGAAGCCCCAGCCCCAACCCAATGGGGTGGGGGGTCCTGAGAAGACTTGGGGAGAGGTTGGGGGAATCCTAAGACAACAGAGGCTTTAGGTAAGCTTCTGGATGTGGTGACCTGTCTCCCAAGTCCCCATCTCTGGGGTCCTAGCTCCTTCAGTCTCCCCCCCACCACTAGAGGGGGAGGGGAGACCTGGAGAGACTAGGGAGGGCGAGACCGCCGCAGAGATGAGTCACCAAGAATGGGAGTGAAAAAGACAGAGATACTGAGAGAGACACAGAGACAGAGAGATGCAAAGAGACACTCAGAGGGACAGAGAGCCCTCTAGAAAACACACATAAAAACCCCTACTGAAAGGTAGGAGCAAACTGGGGGGGGGGGTGAAACCCAAGAATTTGTGCCTCCCTAGTTTTCTAATCCCCTCCATCTTCCCTCCTCCCCCTCCCTTCTTTCCTTTCTCTCTCTCTCTTTCTCTCTCTTTCTCTCTCTCTCTCTCTCTCTCTCTCACACACACACACACACACAGAGGAAAGCACTAGAACACATATATACGCAGTCTTTCACACTTACATACATGTAAGTACACACACATATACATATAACACACAAACACAAATACCCAAAGTCACACAGGCACACCCACATATACGTACAGTTTCACTCGGAATCTGACAGTTTCCAAGACTCTGAGTTCCACATACATAGTCTCATGGACTCTCACAGGGCCATGCTGAGGGTGTGGCTAGTGTGGCTAAGACAGAGCCAACTTAACCCTTGTGACCAGAGTTCCTTCACCTAGTATGGGGGGTTTGGGGAGGGGGGCACTAAAAACGTGGAGTGGATGACATTGGGAAGGAGGAGTCAGTACAGTATGGTTTCATATTTCCTGAACACAGGCTCAGGGACACAGAAGGACCATCCTGGAGAGACTCACTCACACACACACACACACACACACACACACATACAAACACACACACACATACACATACATACATACACACACAGACATTCCAAGAAAACATTTATTCAAATAAAAACATTTATTAAATACCGTCTTCTGTTACACGGTTTCACATACACCCACACAGATGCACATAGTCCGTACGCATGCACACACTCATACAAGGGGGCACAAAGACATAAACATAAAGACACCACCTCTCTTGCTTCAATCTAATCCTTTTTCACGTGTTTTGGACGCCCCCGTGTGCTCCCTTTAGGTACTGCAATCTATGTCACCCTTTGAGTTTTGACTTGCGTTGAGAGGCAGGCAGGGGAAGTGAGACACCTAGTTCTTTAAAAGAAAATAGGG